GCTAACGGGATTAACATGTATAATATTATCATTTTACTCACCGAAAAAAGCTGAGAGTAGACTTCTTGGAAGGTCTGTTAGTACATTCAAGCGCACAGCACTACATTTCAATTGTCTGGTATTTGTAACAATATTCCCTAAAAGGCACAATCACCACGAACACGGCTAAAGGGTCAAGTACAGCAACTACAACTAACTAACGTTGTAGCCTAGCAGAGTGGACAAATTGCTGTTAGCTGACAGTGAGGCACGTACCTGTCCATCAAAGTGACCACGCCCTAATTTATGCAAAAACTTTAAGACCTAATATAAATAAAAGGGTCGTGTTAGAAAACAATTCACTCACAGATCCATAATCATGAAGGTGGAATCTAACTATATTCATAATAATATTTATTGGATCCATGGGTAGAAACATGTTTTTTTAGGCTGTGAAATTGGGCATTTTAACATGGGGCTCTATGGAAATTGCTCCTTTCTGCAGTCAGCGCCTATCGGCCAATATATGAACTGCAGTTTGTGGCACTTCCGCATTGGCGTCCCGGCTCTTCCCCAGAGTTTGCCGCTTGGTCACTACCCGATCTGTCCCCCTGCCCGATCTGTACTGCGCATGTGCGAGATGGCCCGCCATATTGGACAACTACATACGGCAACTCTACTAGGACACTTGACACAGTGGCTTTTGGCAAAGCAGAAAAAGAACCGAGAGAGATGAGTTATTGTTATTACAACGTGACTTCACTATTATTTAACAACTCTTTTTATTGGGTTCTTTTATTTGGGGTTAAATACATTGTCAGAATAAGTGAGACATGGATTTAACTTCTGTTAGACAGCTATATGCCATACATTTTTGCATACATTCACAGTAAATGTTTATTCAGTATGATAGCTGTCTAACAGAAGTTAAATCCATGTCTCACTTATTCTGACAATGTATTTAACCCCAAATAAAAGAACCCAATAAAAAGAGTTGTTAAATAATAGTGAAGTCACGTTGTAATAACAATAATCTCTCTCGGTTCTTTTTCTGCTTTGCCAAAAGCCACTGTGTCAAGTGTCCTAGTAGAGTTGCCGTATGTAGTTGTCCAATATGGCGGACCATCTCGCACATGCGCAGTACAGATCGGGCAGGGGGACCGATCGGGTAGTGACAGTAGCCTCATCCCAATACCCCTCCTCGACTCCTCTCTTCCCCTCCTCCGGGACTTGACCCGGAAATCGATCAAGACACGCCATTTTGAAGGACGTCCCAATAGCTGAAATGCACACGGAGGAGTCGAGGAGGGGTGAGGGAGGAGGGGTGCGGGAGGAGACGAAAGGGAGGATACAGGAGAGCAGACTATGCGGAAGTGTTTTCACTACTCGCGTATAAAAGCCCCGCCCCCACCTTCACAGCTGGTCGATTTCAAGAGAGGAAAACGGAGAACTGGAAGATGAGTGGAAAAGCGTCACATAAATGTCTACTCACCGCTCCGTGGGAATTATTATGTGCAATTCATTTCTTAAGGTTATACTAACAATTTAAGTCATGTTTAATGATCATGAACGTCACTCAAACATAGCTATTAAGAAAGCTATTTCATAAATGGCTAGATCTTGATAAATAACAATTATTTGTATTGTTTTGTGTTAAGATATTCAGGAGTTAAATTATTTAAAATTCACAGTCCTGAATGTGGGTTTGTGGTAAATGTGGGGATCTACAGGACACACATTTTCAGAGTAAAGGCTTTCATTGGATTATGGATTTTTTGTTTGGCCGTGCCATCAGAGTCCGAGTTGGCAATTCATATTCTCGAAGGCATGAAGTTGAAAATGGAACCCTGCAGGGGAGTGTAATTAGTCCTCTTTTGTTTTCTATCATGATAAATGATATATATACACAAGTAGGATCTGATATCGGTAAGTCACTTTTTGCAGATGATGGAGCTATTTGGAAAAGGGGCAGAAATGTAAATTATATTGTAGCTAAGATTCAGGAAGCCATTACGGAAATTGAAAGCTGGTCTCTGCATGGGGGTTTAGATTGTCGGTGGAAAAAACTGAAACTTTATTTTTTACGAGGAAAAGGATAGGTGAGGAGGTTAGGTTAAAACTTTATGGACAAGAACTAAAGAAAGTGAAGACATTTACATTTCTGGGAATATGGTTGGACGAGAGAGTCACATGGAGTACTCACATTGATAAAGTAGTAGATAAATGTAAACGGGTTTTAAATGTTATGAGGTGCTTGGCAGGCACTAAGTGGGGGGCTGATAAAGCTGCTTTGAGGAACGTATACACAGCATTAATTAGATCAGTCATAGAATACGGACTAATAGTGTATGGTTCAGCTGCATACTCTTCTCTTCAAAAAATAGATAGAGTCCAGGCACAAGCACTAAGGATATGCTGTGGGGCAGTCAGATCTACACCAGTGTCGGCACTTCAGGTAGAGGTCGGAGAAATACCAATTGTTTTGAGGAGAAAACAGTTAATTGTTCATTACTGGGCAAATCTACAGGGCCATAAAGATACTCACCCTACTAAACAAACTGTAAAAACAAGTTGGGAAAGTAACAAAATTAAAAAAGAAAGTTTTTGTGTTTCGGAATTATGTAAGGAATTCAAAGTTAAAGAATGGAATATTCGTCCGACGGTGTTGTTATCAGCTGTTCCACCATGGTTGCTACCTCAACCTGTAATAGATTTATCATTATTGAAACGGTTACATTCAATGAAAAACAAAATTAATGTACAGGTTTATGTGAATACTGTTCTACATGAGCAATATGGGCAGTTTATACAAATATTTACTGATGGATCCAAAAATCCAGAAAATGGTCAAACTAGTTGTGCATTTTATGTTCCTGAATTAAAAGTAAAAGTGGGAAAGCGGACGAGGGATCACATCGCAGTATATACAGTAGAGATGATGGCTATCTCACTAGCACTTCAGTGGGTAGAGGAAATACAGCCAATGCGAGTGGTCATTTGCTCTGACTCCAGTGCAGCTCTGGAGAGTATAAACAACTTCTCTTCAGAATGTCGGCAGGATATTTTACATGAAATTTTACACATCATGTTTAGGTTAGTTAATCTGGGAATTGTTGTTCAATTTGTGTGGGTTCCAGCGCATGTGGGTATCAGAGGGAATGAGGTAGAGGATCAACTGGCAAAATGTGGTTTGAAAGCAAACCAGATTGATATAATGGTACCCATCAGTAGAGCAGAAGTCAAATCTGTTACAAAAGTTGTTATCAAGCAACAATGGCAAAAACTATGGGACAGTAACACCAAAGGAAGACATTTATACCAGATACAAAGAGAAGTAGGAACGGAAAGCACTTGGGGGAGTAGTAGAAGAGAACAGAGCATTAACAGCAGGATAAAATTGGGTCACTCTGGATTAAACTCATCACTGCATCTGATTGGAAAACATCCAAATGGCAATTGTGATGGTTGCCAACAACCAGAGACAATACATCATGTATTTTTTAGCTGCCCGGATTATAACAGACAAAGACTCATTCTGAAAACTGCACTGGAACAACTCAACATCAAGGACATGGATTTCAAGTCAATATATGAAAGTAAATCAAGAAATGAAGCAAACAAGTTGATCTTCAAATTCCTCAAAAGCACTGGTCTGAGGACAAGGATTTAATATAAACATTTAATAAATCAACAGTAGGTGGCGATATATGATCCAAGTGGAAGCGATTCGCCATTAAAGCGTTCCCCCATGGCTTTTCCCAGAAGCTAAAATAGATATGAGTATTGTAGAAAGGAAAAAAGAGTGGCAAGTAAATGAAGTGGGAATTAAAACAAGTATGTATCTGAATGAAAAGTATTACAATTGCCTACAAATTTACACAGATGGTTCTAAGAACAAGGAAGAGTGTGTTGGAATTGGTATATACATCCCAGAATTTAAAATATCTATTTCAAAAAGAGCGTCTGATCAATTATCAGTGTACACAGCAGAAATGCTGGCAGTAATAATAGGATTACAGTGGGTTGAAGAGGTCAGACCAGATAGGGTGGTGATGTGCACAGATTCATTGTCCATATTACAAAGCATACAATCAACAACAACTGCCAGAGAAGACATTCTCATAGAACTGAATCATAGCCTGTTAAGATTGCACAGAGGCGGCATAGATCTGCAGTTCTGCTGGGTGCCTGCACATGAGGGGGTGAAAGGGAACGAGTGTGCTGATAAATTAGCAAAAAGTGCACTACAAAAGGAAATAACATTACCAGTTCAACTTGGAAAAGGAGAAGGAAAAGCAGTAATTAAGAAGAAAGGGATGGAGATCTGGCAGAAAAGGTGGGAGAAAGACCAGAAAGGCAAAGAATATCACAAAGTACAAAAGACAATTACAATTCATATTTATAAAGAAAGAAACAGAAGGGAGGAAATCATGATAGCTAGGCTCAGAATAAATCACACAGCATTGAATGGTACGCTGTATGTCATGGGGAAAAGTGACAGTGACAAGTGTGGGAACTGTGGAGTAAAAGAAGATGTAGAACATATCTTGATACATTGTGACATATATAAAGCGGAAAGAGAAAAACTAAAGGCTAAAGTTTTAGAGGCAGAGAGGGAATGGAGTGTGGTTGGTATTTTGGGAACAAAAGGAGAGGGAGTAAGAGCTACCAGAAAGGCACTGTTTACATTCTTGAGTGAAACTGGGGTAGGAAAAATAATTTAACATTAGGTCAAGAAAGAACATAGATTTTTATTTTTGTTTTATTTATTTCATGTTTTGTTTTTTGTTTTTTGTTGATTTATTTATTTATTTTGATTAGATCATAGGTTAAAGAGTTGGTATGATATGATGATTCATACTCATGTACAGTAGGTGGCGGTATGCACCTTTTAAGTTGTTTGCAATCCGCCAAAAAACGAAGAGAAGAAGAAGAAGAAGAAGATTCGCCATTAAAGTGAAGAAGAAGAAGAAGAAGAAGAAGAAGAAGAAGAAGAAGATGAAGATTCGCCATTAAAGTGAAGAAGAAGAAGAAGAAGAAGAAGAAGAAGATTCATACTCATGTACAGTAGGTGGCGGTATGCACCTTTAAAGTTGTTTGCAATCCGCCAAAAACCGAGAGAAGAAGAAGAAGAGCAGCAGCTAGCAGCAGCAGCTAGCATGGACGCCGTGTCGCAGCGAGTGTTGGAGCACCTGACGGAGGTGGAGGAGGCCGCAGAGGAGGTGCTCAGCTCCAAGCAGCAGGTAACTGAGAGCAGACACGCAGGACCCGGATGTTAGCCCTGTCTGTGGTCCACAGGGCGCTTTTCTTCAGCGACATGTACGGTGTGATCCTGCCTGGGTCCACAGCAGGACAGATCACAGGTTAGATGGAGAACATAGAACAGGTGGAGAACATGGAACAGGTGGAGAAATGACTTTACTTGGAAGCTTCAATTCGGCTTGACACTTGATTCGACTGCATTTTATAGGAACTGTCTCTTATAAATAGTCCACCCCAGTTCATAAATCCAGAGGTGAAAAAAGTACTCAGATCTTGTACTTGAGTAAAAGTAGAAGTACTCAGATCTTGTACTTGAGTACCAGAGTGTAGGAATACTCTGTTACAGTAAAGGTCCTGCGTTCAAAATGTTACTCAAGTAAAAGTAGAAAAGTATTATCAAAATATAGTTAAAGTAGCAAAAGTAAAAGTAGTCATTGCGCAGCTTGGTCCATTTAAGAATAATATATGATATGTTTTATAATTATTTATGCATTAAAGCAGGGCTATTCAATTGGCGGCCCGCGGGCCAAATCCGACCCCGGGGTGATATTTACTGGCCCTTTGAGTATAATGTTAAAAAGTAATAAAAAAAAAAAATTTAAGATTTTTTTTTTTTTTTTTTTTTGTGCCATAGTGCCTTTATTCCAGAGAGGGTGTTACATTGAGAGATAGAGGGGTAGACAATGCCTGAAAACTTCGACGGGCTCGGGTTTCGAACCCACCTACTATACTGTAGTGACAACTCCTGTCATTGATTGCATCTCTGCGTGAATGATTAGATCATTTCACCTAAATGAAATCAAATGAACATGTAGGCCTACTGAGTTCTGAACTTGCCATTTAGATCTATAAAGGCCTTGGGGCTATGTTGTTTGATTGAATTAAACACAATATATGCACTCCACTATGCTGTTGTAGTATTTGCTGTATCTGAAGCTCTTAAATATGATTGCTCATATTTCAAGCCATCTTTTTCCCGGCCCCTTGCTTTGGATCATTTTCATCAACCGGCCCCCATTCTAAACTAATTGAATAGCCCTGCATTAAAGTGTTGTCAAAGCTGGTTTAGGGAGCGCTTGATTTGATAATCAGCACGCAGGGAGCACGGACCATACAGCGATATTGGCATCGCTGGACCCATGGCAATATTACAGCAGTTTCATTGTTAAATGTTTATTTTACACTAAATGTGTGTGTAACTATTAAGCTCCACATGACCAGAGGAAGTTTCTAACTTGATGTTTCAGGTGGTGGAGCTGGACAGCAGGAGGAACAGGAACAGAGAGGCTCTGAGCGCGCTGAGGACAGAGGACACTGGTGAGACATCTGGGCTCAAAAATTCATGATGTTAGGGAGGTCGTATAAAACTCACTGTGGATATGAGTATCGATGTTGAATCAAAACTGATGTCATTTGCAGAGAAAGTGAAGGTTTGCTTCGGAAACATGTTCATCAAACTTCCCAAACTGAAGACTAGAGAGATGATTCAGAAAGGTAAGAAAAAGGGATTTTGGAAATCAAAATTGACCAGATACTGAATATCATGTATTTGAATATAAATATATCTGCGGTGCACATATTGTGGATACATGACTTCATCCTGAACAGTTTGTTTGTCACCTGTAGACCAAGAGCAGCTGGACAAGGAGATAAATGAGCTTCGTAAAGGTCTGAAAGCTAAAGTCAACCGTCTGAATGAGCTGCAAGGTACCTGCCCCCCCTCTGGCCCTGTGACTCTTTTACAGAATACACTTTCTCACTTAATGCTGAGAGGATACTTAAGAACATATCTAGGATTAAAAGACTAATGTTACAGCAGGATTTGGAAAAACTTGTCCATGCTTTTATCTTCAGTAGACTGGACTACTGTAATGGTGTCTTCACAGGTCTCACTAAAAAATCTATTAGAAAGCTGCAGCTAATTCAGAATGCCGCTGCTCGAGTCCTCACTAACACTAAGAAAGTGCATCACATCACTGCAGTTCTGAAGTCTTTACACTGGCTTCCAGTCTAGCAAAGGATTGATTTTAAACTACTATTGCTGGTTTTTAAAGCACTGAATTGTTTAGGACCAAACTATATTAACGATCTCCTGCAGGAGATCCTGGGTGGTAAAAACCAGCAATAGTACTTTACCACCCAGGAGTCTCAGGTCTTCTGGGACGGGTCTGCTCTCTGTTACAAGAGTAAGAACTAAACATGGAGAAGCAGCGTTTAGTTTTTATGCCCCGACCATCTGGAACAAACTCCCTGAATCCTGCAGGTCCGCTGCAACTGTTAAAGGTCCCATGTCATGCATTTCCGGTTATTACCCATCCCCTTGTGTGTTATGTAGCTTTTTCTGCATTCATTTCATTTCAAACCTTTATTTATCCAGATTGTCCCTTGAGATCATAGATCTCTTTTTCAAGGGAGACCTGCAGCAATTAGGTTCCACATGAAACATAAAACAACATAAAACAATAGAGGATATCATACAACATATTTACAAGCTACATTTACACACTTATCAACATTTACAAATACCCATAGTTTCAATGAGCATTTCATTTAGCCTTGCTTTAAAAACATTTAGAGGAATACAATTGCTCAGTTTCAATTTTAGCTGTAGACTGTTCCAAGCAAGTGGAGCTGCGCACATAAAAGCTGTCTTACCTAAGACGGTCCTTGCTCTTGGCACATCTAACAATACTACATCATGCGATCTCAGACAATAGCTGCTTGCAACTCTTTGTGTTATCAGTGAACAGATGTAATACGGGAGTTTACCCAACATGGCTTTATAAATAAACGTGTACCAATGACTGAGCCTCCGTAAAGTAAGTGATGGAAAACCTGCCTTGGTATACAGTGTACAGTGATGTGCAAGTGCTTTACAATTTGTGACAAATCTCAGTGCGCTGTGATAGGCGGCATCTAACTTGTTCAGGCAATGGGCAGGTGCATTCATATAGACCAGATCACCATAGTCCAGCACAGGTCAAAAGGTCACAGTGACTAGCCTTTTCCTGGCTTCAAAAGAGAAACAGGACTTGTTTCTGAAAAAGAAACCTAGTCTAACCCTCAGCTTTTTAAGCAGGTTATTGACCTGAAGTTTAAAAGTGAGACAATCATCAAGCCAGATACCAAGGTATTTGCAACAGGCAACCACTTCAAGTATTATTCCTTGCGCAGTTACAATATCCAAAGCAGTCTCTGGTGTCTTTTTTGCTTTTGAGAAGAGCATTACCTTGGTTTTATCAACATTTAAAAGAAGCTTTAGTTCAGAGAGCTGAGTCTGAATAATGTTAAAAACAGCCTGTAATTTAACACCAGCCTCCTTAATGGAGGGACCTGCACAGTACATCACGGTATCATCCGCATACAAATGTAAAGTAGCTTCATCCACATTTTCACCTAAACTATTGATGTAGATGGAGAATAAAAGTGGACCTAAAACAGAACCTTGAGGAACACCATTAGCAAAGTTTAACCACTCAGAAGACAGCCCATCAAAGTGAACACATTGGGACCTTTCAGATGCCCCTATCACACCGGCGCACATATATATATATATATATATATATATATATATATATATATATATATATATATATATATATATATATATATATATATATATATATATATATATATATATATATACACACACACACAATTTCAGAATCAAAAAAGTATGAGAGCACTCTCATAATAACGTAAGCAGGAGAAACCAAACCGTCTGTCTGCTGCATCTACACACACACACCTAAACACTGTACAACACACTTTACAACACGCACCTACAGCATATAATATATATCAGGCTACAGCCGGTGTGTATTTTATTATGTGAAGCACTACATGGTTTTAGAAAAATATCTCCTCTTTGTCTGTAGATATCTAGTAAAGCCTACAAATAAAGAGTGCCATTTAGACCTTTTATATATATTATTGAGTGATATATTAAACACACTGCTTTCTGCACTGACCTCAGCAGCTGTTCTCGCTGTAAACATCGCGTCACTATTAAAGCAGTTAATAAAATGTAAAAAGTAGCCTAATATCCAGGGGATGCAGTTTGCAGAGCTGTCATTGGTGGAGATAAGTCCGGCCGTGTGTCACTCCTCTTTTGAACATCACTGTTGCCGGAAATACATCCCCGGAGGATACATCAGTGTATCCTCGGTTATAGCTCCTCCAGAGAGCCTCCTCTCTCCTCTACATCAGTGTATCCTTGGTTATAGCTCCTCCAGAGAGCCTCCTCTCTCCTCTACATCAGTGTATCCTTGGTTATAGCTCCTCCAGAGAGCCTCCTCTCTCCTCTCTCCTCTACATCAGTGTATCCTCGGTTATAGCTCCTCCAGAGAGCCTCCTCTCTCCTCTCCTCTACATCAGTGTATCCTCGGTTATAGCTCCTCCAGAGAGCCTCCTCGATGCTCGGTCCTCGATGCTCAATGTGCATTTTGAAAAATTAGATGTCCTTCAACATGGCGCGCTGAAATCGATTTCCGGGTCAGGACCGAGGAGTCGAGAAGGTGTACATTTTATAATTGAGAAAGGGCTCATGTTTCCTTGAACCCAGCATGTCTGGTTCAGGGACCATTCAATCGATTAATCAGATTGTTGTATGTGTTATCTGGCTTAACTAACCCAGCAAATGCAATCCTGCTAAACTACTACGATGCTGGTTACTAACTTGGTAAGTAACCAAAAGACCTTGTGACAGTCAAATCCAATGCAGATAGATTATGTTAGGGTCTAGGTTTGATGAACAATGGCTCAGTAGTTGGAAGCTGAAGTGAAAGCTGCTGTCGGTGTGTTGGATGATGTATGATTCATGATGTGTGTCTTTTATTTGTTTGCAGGGAAACCTGAGCTGCGGGGCTACAGTCTTTCTCCTCTGTCCACTGAGGAAATCAAAGCTATTAACAGCCTCTTCAAGAGATGACTTTAAATCTCCTTACGACTGGACATTTGTTGGAACAGAAGCCTCTTGGATGATTGACAACCCATATGTTACCCTTATCGGCTGCCTGACATTTTCATTTTCAAATATTATGTTGCGGTCTAAACCCTACAAAAGCAAAGTTCAGACAGAAAGTATGTTTAGGTATTTCCCCTTTCCTCTCAATTGTGGAAAATCAGCCTTATGCTCAGCTGAGTGCTGGAAGAACATTGTGTGTGTGTGTGTGTGTGTGTGTGTGTGTGTGTGTGAACACAAAGTGATGTTGTGTTGTCTGCTGTGATTACATTGACAGGGCTTTTATATTGGGTGTGACTGTGCAGTAGTACCTGGTGCTGTAGAGCAGACAGTGTTGTTTCAAATGGTCACTTAACATATAATTTCATGCCATATGTTTAAGGAAAACATTTGAACCTCGTGTTTTATATTTCTAGTTCCATCACTCAAGTCACATATGATAACATTGTATTCTCCACGAACATGCAAAAATCCAAAGATGATGCCAAACATGATGAAAAGGAAATAAATCACACACACACACTGTTAACTAGAGTTCACACACTGTTTCCATATGATCTACAACTTTAAAAGTACATTAAATAAAATCTGAATTATTGTTTCACATTTGGAATTCTGTCCACATACAAATTTCACATGTTAAAATACACACAGTACACTTCGAGGCAACCTGTAAAATATGCTTTATTGTCTCTTCCAACTCAGTTTGTTGAAGCTGTTATTTGCCTTATTTACAACCTGTCACACTGACTGCTCATGTTTCTGTGCAATTGGACATATTTCAAGTTATTCCAACACCATAACCAGAAACCAAAGCTATGAAGATGAAACTTCAGGCATAGGTTCCCTTCACACAATGTTTAGCAGCTGCCTACATGCATGTTGCTCTGTGGCGGACAGGAGACTGTCCTCCATTGGTTTGAGTGACAGCATTGTGTGGTTCTGTGACCACAAGATGGCAGCACAGTACTGGATTCAGAGTCCCCCCACAGCCTTGTAGTGTTCAGTGGGTGTTTCTCAATGTCGAGGAAGGCTCCTCCAGAGCCACTATTTCAAGGATGAGTCCCGCCGAAGGACTGTTTCTATAGGCGCGTTCACACCAAGTACTTTGCAGTACTTAGTGCCGGCACTTTTTACCCCAGGGCATTAAGTACCAATCGCGTACTTTTCCCTGAGGGAAGATTACGCAAATGAGCCGCTGACGTCACTTCTTCTTCTTCTGCTTTGGGTTTACTGGCAGGCCACAAACCACTAGGCTCAGCAGCAAACCCACCTTTATTGTGTATATATATATCTTCCTGAGACCCACTGCATCCGTCTGCCATAAAGACTATGGAAACCTACATGTTAGTTTTGGCCCATAGTGGACTCCATTTTGTGTTGTGTAAAATGGCGGGGGAATTAAAAGTTTGCAAATCCCCATGTCCTCCTCAGAGGACAATCATAAAAACATTTAGTTTTAGGTCAAATAATATTTAAAATTATATAAATGATCATATTTGTGTATGTGCCCCTGCCATTCCCCCACAAGGTTGCAACATTGATGATAAATAAATGACAAATAAAGCTTCGCCAGTTTATAACCGATGAAACATGATGGTATCAGAATAATCACTTACATGTGATGTATAGGATGCTACGGTCACTAAAGATAAAGTGTCAGGAGAAATAAGCAAGATACAGGATCTGTTTAATCGCCATGTAGGTTATCTTTATTGCACTCTCAAGACATAACAGTAGTAAATAGAAGTTCACATTTTTAATGTAAATAAAATAGAAGTTGTACATGTAAGTTAACATCAATATAAAATAAAGTGTCAGTTGTATCAAGACTATATAATAACAGTAATAACAATAATATAAAATAAACTGTCCCAGGTGTAGGGATAGGCTCAGCAGCATACACACCTTAGTGCAAAGTTGTGTGTCAGTATTAATAACAACAATACAAAATGAACTGTCGCAGGTGTAGAGATAGGCTCAGCAGCAGACATTGTTAACAGTGGCAACAATAGGGAGGAAGACCTGTTGGCTTTCACTAGCTGGGAAAGCACTTCCAGAAACCCATTCTGAAAAGTGGTTTGTCGCTCATCCTGGCGCCGCTCGCGCTGCGCCGACACTTCATCCTGGCGCTCCATCTGCCGCTTCAACACTTCAGCCTGGCGCTCCATCATCGCGAGCATCTTGTCCTCCGTTTCCTGGGCCTTGCTTAAGAGCACCATCTGATCCCCGTGCATCGACTCTTTCACCACGGCACGCCGGTCCTCCAACGCCTCGACGGTGAAATTCACATCCCGTGCCCGCTTTCCTAAGAGGGAAAATAAGCAAGATACAAGATCTGTTTAGTCGCCATGTAGTTTTACAACATACTAGGAATGTGTTTACTAGTCAACATTGGACAGGGTGCAGGCCGGGACAAGACAGTGTACACAATGGAGGTGTATAGTAGAAGATAATATAGGATCAAATAGCATCAAATATATATATATATATGTGTGTGTGTGTGTGTGTGTGTGTGTGTGTGTGTGTGTGTGTGTGTGTGTGCTTCATGTATGCTTGAACTTTGTTTAATGTTGTTGAGCCAAGTTTTCTTACCGGAAGTCATGTGACCTCTAGCCCGGATGTTTACAATGTTTGTGAGAGAGTAAAAACGGCGCGGAAATTTGTAAGGGGAATACGTTTTCACGCTGTTTCATAATTGTACCAAGAAGGAAATAAACGTGATTGTGAACATCAGTTCGATGCGTAACGTTCTTTCAAGACCAAGTTACAGTGTGTGTACCTTTGCGTTTGGTTGCTGGTAAGGGGGACGAGCAAGCGCTGTGATCTGGAGGGGAAAGCTCGCTTGTTTCCAATCCTGAGAGTTGTCCATCCTCGCCTGAAACACACGATTAGTGCCATGAGTTAGTGACGCAAATTACAGAAACACTGCACAGTTATTCACAAGTCAAAACGTTTTCATAGCGGCCGAGAATATCTAGCTAGCTAGATGTTATTAGCCAGCTCGGGGCCGGTGTTAGCCAGTTCAGCCTAGCATGGCTAGCTCGATCTACTGAGCAAATAAAAGTACATCTGAGACCATTATTGTGCAGATTAAAACCCCAGTGCATGTAGTTGATTTTACCTTCGTCGTGGTCGTGGTCGTTGGCCACTGAATCCGCCGTTTGAGCGGCCTCCCACACCATCGTGCCCGAATCGAAGGTCGATGCTGTGCCAGAGAATGAAGGTCTGTGGCCTAGCAGAGCATCCAAGCGCTCGTACCATTTACTGGTCTTCCGGTCGTTACCACTCTTGTTGTTATAGTCTTTAATTTTTTTGTAGTCCTGCCTGAGTTTCTTTATTTTTAGCCGGCATGCAGTGGCGCTGTGCACGATTCCCAGGTCGAGTAACTTTTTCGAACAACGCTCGAACATTTTGGAGTTGGGTACTGCCTTCAGTAGCATTCCCTGGGTCGCGTCCTCGGCGTAGATTTCCAGAAGCGCCGACACCTCCTCATCACTCCACCGCTCCGATGATTTATTTATGCTTGCCATAACTGCTTTCACAACAAACTACTCTCCGTTGGTGCGCTGGGTTAATGTAGCGAGCAAATAAAAATGGCGGCTCTACAAAACATTTCAGAGTTTTACGGGGCGCGGTTTGCAATTCGCCCAGCCAATCAGAACTGGGGCACTTTTTTCCCCCAGGAAAGTACCATCTCTCAGCAGGCACTAAAAATGGGGGTAAAAGTTCCCGAGATGAAGTGCTCTTTTTGGTGTGAACGCGACATAAGGGGTACTAATGGAACTAAACGTGAAAAGTACGGTGAAAAGTACTCGAAATTTCGAAGCTTCATATGTGTATCCTCCGCGGTCTTAAAATCCCCACAATGCTTTGCGCACGGACCAATTTCCAAAATCTTTGGCGGAAATCATGCTCCATTTAAGGCGGGGCCTCGCATATGACGCACACCTGCACACCTGTTAGCCTGTTCCACCATTCTTCGTTTTCCGAGGCTAGGAAGGATTCTTGCCTCGCTTCTGAAGGACCTGACTCGGAAGACATGTCCTACCAAGGAAGCGTCCTCGACATTGAGAAACACCCAGTTAATGTGAAATGATGTTTTCATAATGTTAGGTTTTTGTTGCAGCATGTCATAATTTTATCATTGTCATATCTTGTCTATAATACAAGTATTTGATATATTTATGATTATGGGTGAACTGTATTTTGTTTATTTTGTGTTAGAGTTCGCCTTGCCTTCACTGTGACCTTTAGTTTTCTGTGGAGCTTTTTTCTCTGACTGAAACATGCTTAGTCACAAAGTGAAAACAAGCCGGCTGCTGCCCCCAGCGATACACTGAAAGCAACATACTGCATGTAATCCCCAGAGAGGAATGTTGATGTGCATGAGTAGACATGGATGTCCTCGGGCAGCGAGGGACAGGAAGTGCAGTCACACAGCAGGTAGATTGTTTGTGTGTCTGCTTCTCTCTCAGACTGGTTGCGTGCCGCCGCTCTCAGACCTGGGACCAGCTGAATGATGAGGGAATGAGTCAAAGGATGGGAACCTGCTGATCATCCCAAATGTTCGACAATTATACCCAACAAGACACGCAACAGAGCTATGTTAGAAGGGTGACTCACCGACAGCATTCCTCTTCCACCTGTGAAACAACACCGTGATGATTGATTCCACAATGTTGTCCCCCAAATCCCTACAAGAGCTAATTATTCCCACGGGAGCAATACAAATCCATCTATAAACTGTCTATTCAGTGGTTTGGCAGTGTAGAGTGGAGATGTATCACAGAGATGTCTCAGCTGGGAAACTAACATTATTTACAGTTTGAAGGCCAAAGTGTGGGCCAGAAGGCAGCGATCCTGCTGCTTGAGATGAAAAATGAACACATCTACAGCTGTCACTCTGGGAGACAACTTGAATGATCTGCTTCTAAACATCCTGCAGGAAAGCTTTGGAGTTTTCCTTGGCATGTGAGGAGTGTGTGTGGTTTTGGTTCCCTCCTGCTGAGAGACTGAATTATTTATTGGCTTTCAAGACAATATCTTATTTAGCTGTCATTCACATGCCATCCCAATCTGCAGGACAGAGTGGTGATTTACTGCTGGGTGTCAGTGTGTGCTGTCACAGAGCTGCACATCAACATGTGATGACACGCTTTGAAGAACAAATTGAGCGATCAGTCTCATGACACACACAACAGTTCTCAGTGAGAGAGAAGACTAGTTCAATCATTTTGACCAAAATAACCCAAAAGACTCTGGCTTTTATAAGGCCAATCGTGATCCTCAGTACTTTTTGGTTACAGAGAGAAGTGTGTGTGAGCATCATTCTATCCTCTTGATGTAGACCTTTGATCACTGTGAGGAGATCTTTCACATGTTATGTAACACTGTTGTTACAAGATCCGCTATGGCCGCTTTAATCAAAAAGTTATTTCTTTATTTTTATATGAACAATGAATCATAGGAACGTGTAATGTTAAGGTGCCACTCGTAGAACTCTGCAGCCAGCAACTGTTGGTTCACACTCACTGCTCTGAACGTTGGATTAACCAGGTCAAATTCTAGTTTTTCAACAAGGACAAAGTAATTGGCCCATAATA